TTATTTCAAACAAAATACTTTTTTAAAGTTGCAAAATGGAAGCCAGTGTCCACACGGTGCCTACAGTTCTCAAGTCTGACCTGCACTGTATCTATCCTTAATGTGTCTTTGAATTTGCTGGATGAGTTTGACGTTAGGAAGGCTTATGTAACAATTCAGATTTCCAGTATTTCTTGGAAAAAAACAAACAAAAAATCCAAAGACATCGGTACCTCTACGCCTGCATTCCCCTATGGCAACAACCTATTTCAGGTGAGTGGCGGTTGCCGCTTTCAGAAGAAGACAGGAGTGCTCCTGTACACCTCACCCCCGACCTTCCTCCTTTCTTCACTTCTGTCATCAGCCTAGCCCCTCTGGGCACGTGAGGTTAGCTTCTGCCACCAGCAGTCATCCTGCCCCGACGGACATTGTTTCTTGGAGCGGCTGGGGCAAACGGTGCTCTGTGTTTCTTTACCAATTTGGACTTCTCAAAATAGAACCAAATGGTTGGGAGCTGGAGTAAGGGGTTAGGATTTTATTCTAAGTACAGTGGGGAACCACCACAGTGGCCTCACCCAGGAGTGAGCCAGTGTGACCTGGTTTCTGTGGTGTGGGACAATCCCTTACCTTGTGGGCTAAACTTATTTAAGAAAGTCTTGGGCTGAAATGCTTTCAAGGAATCTTTACTACAGGCTAGAAAACACTGGAGGAGGGTAAGAAATAGAATGAAATGGAAGGAAACCATAATGTAGAATTTCAAAAAACCAGACTAGAAAGTGGTCTGGGTCTAAAAAGAGGTAATCAACCATGTAAGTGCATGACTGACGTATATAAAAACTCAAAGTTATGCTCACTTTTTACCCTGATAGGCGTTAATGGCAATTTTTCTTTAGTACTATGCTGACAAGCTAACATAACCAAGTGATAGCTCATCAACACCAAATAGCTCTACAAAAGTCATTTCTGATTGGTAATTACTCTGAACAAAAATAACTCTTGCAATTATCACTAATTCTTAAAATGAACTATTTAAAGGAAAGTTTGCAAGGCCTCTAAATTTTTCCTGTTTCTGATTTTCCTTAATGATTCCAATTTCACTGTGCAGCAGCGGAGAAAACACATGGAGATACAGGCTACCTGTAAATTATCTTGTACTTTCCGTCCCGTCCTTTGTCAGATAAGGCGACCTCATAGCTGTAGGGGAAAGAAAGACCGCTGTGGGGTCCACATGAAAGTCCAACAGGGGGAGCCCAGGACAGCACAACCGCTCTTGCCTGAATATTAGAAACCTGAGAAAAAACAAACACAGACAAAATTATCCAAATCCATTTTTATATACACCAGACACTACATCTTGCAGTAACATTTTTGTGATGATGAGTAGTGGCCCAAGACGGGCTCGGGAGTTAATGTAAGGTACACAGTTTTAATTACGATGCAAAAACCATCTCTTGTACTCTCCTGTCCAGGTCCCGACGTCCACAATAGCTCCTGAAACACCTGTCCGTTAACGTAATTCACATTCGATCCTCCAGAAAGTAAAATCGTCAGTCTTGCGTGGGAATTTTTTTTTAAAGGTAAAAAGTTGAATGTGAGACTCTCATGACCTCAGTGATGGCCATCACATTACGTGGAAGGAGCCGTATCTGCAGGTACTTTCTGGTGGCCTCCCAGCCTTCAAAGCCATTACCTCTCAAACCAGGCTCCTTGAAGACCTCAGTTCCGAGGAGAACCCAGCGATGGGGGAGGAGGACCCAGGCCCAGGCTGAAATGGGTGCTGAGATGATGTTTCACCTCTTCTCAGCTCTGTTTTTTTTTTCTTTTTTTTTCTTTTCGGTGTAGCCTCTGTGTAAGGCTTCATTTGAACAGAGGACTCTGGCACCTTTGAACACCCCAACTTTCTTCCCTTACTTAGGACCACACTGACGCATGTTGCACTCCACCCACACGCCGTTCTCAGCAGGACGGAGTTCCAGCCACCTCCAGCTGTAAGCTGCTCAGTAAGAGACTCTGCCGTGGGCTTCCTGCCCTTCCATCCCAGGTGCTTGCTCTAACTGGTGCTTCCTGGGGCACCCCCGCCTTCCCAAATACACTATTTGCACTCCATCTTTGTTTTAGAGTCTTGTTTCTAGAGAAACCCAACCTCATGCATAGTCTAATTCTTTAAAATAAGTCAAAAGAACTTGAAGTTCTAAGTTTCTAAAGGTTATTTTGCCGCTCTCTGGATACTGGTCTGAATAAAATATTAAAATCAAGAGTTAATGTAGATGCTAAAGCTTCATGTTCATAAAGACTGGTGGTAGATTATTATTAGTTTGCAGATAGAGATATGTAAACTATTCAGTTTCCTTTTTTTCTTCCATTTTTGTCACTATCTGATCTATAGAGCATTAAAATTTAATACAAAATAATGTGAAAACATGAATAACATGGAATATGAGTACCGAATCTCCGTTTCCAGTCTGTCATTCATTCCATTTTTCGCAGAGATGCCTCCATATCATTTCTGCTCCGTATAGACATAGCCTCATGATGTTTTTAACCAATTCTTTAGTCAAACTCCTACTCATCATTCCCGACCCCAGCCGGGCCTCACTATCCCCAAGTAACCTTCCCTGAAAGGTAAGCGTGTCACCTATCATCATCCCTCTGTTCTACAGCAACTTGCTATTATCTTTACTATCGCAAATCACGTTTACGGCATTCGTCTCCCTTTCCCACCGGACCGTGGGACTCCCTAATGACAGGACCCAAGTCCTAGTCAACTGTGAGTAGTGGTGGCTTAGTAAATGTTTGTTGAATGAAAAACAAAAATCAAAGGGAGTAAGATAGTCTGAGTTTCTGATACAGGTGCCACAGTGGATGACAGACCAGCATTACACACCTCTTTAAAAAATCTGAGATACTGTTACAGAGTCAAACTCCACCCTTGTTGCTATGGCTCCAGACTAGCATCTCCTCTTGCCCTATACCCCTCCTGCCCCATAACACACCTTCAGGATACCATTCCCTCTCACACCCCTATAACTTAGCTTTTGACTTTGCTACTTTCTAATCTAGGACCTCTGCCTCAAAGAGCACCAACCTGGTGGAAAGAGAAGGATGCGTGAGAGACGATCTCCTTGCATATCTCCTAGATATTTTGCTATGAAGAGTTTCGTTTACATTAAAAAGAAGGCTGATTAGGTAGAAAATCATGCAGCCGAGGTGACAAATGGCTACTGGGCACAGTTCCAAGAACACAGTGTGGAGTAACACCAATTTGATGAACGGTGGTGTGAAATAACATCATGTTTCAAAACAGCTTGGCAAACACAAGCGCTTTAGATACTGAACAAGGATCCATAAACTCACATCCCTTTAAATTCTTTTTCATCAGCTATTAAGAATGTACACTTGGTTAAATTATTAACGGAATAGTGATGTACAGCACTTGAAGCATCGACTAACACAATGCTCCCCCTTCTCCAGATTCCCTGAGCAAGCCTGAAGACGGCAAAGGGTCCACTGAACGCAGAGCTCTGTGATAGGCGCTCTTCCGATGAGCCAGGCTTTCGGAAGCGCACTCTGAGAATGCCCCATCATTTTCAGAGAACAGCAGCCGTGGCTTCTGGGAATTCTTTCCTAGAGCTAAGAGACATGCCACCTAGGTGACTAGAACTACTCTGGAAGCAGTGGAACATTCCCTGCTGTGCTTCTGCTCCCTCCTTGTCACAGACTCCAGGGCCTCTGGTCTCCTTTCTTTAAGCACTGGAATCCTGAGAGAAAGAGTGCTCTGTCTCTGGCAGAACTTGGAACCCCCTTCCATTTCAAGGATGATGCCAGGAGATTCCCCGGTGCCTTTCAAGAGAACCTCCCATAAAAGGGGAATCCTCAGCACCAGATGCATCCTCCTAGTGTCCAGGGAGGTGATAACCCTAACGAGAGATCTGAGCTCTAGAACTCTGGCTGGTTCGGGCCTCCTTCAAGGCGAAAGCCTTCTCACACGAGCTTCGCCTTCTAAGTGTCTCTCTCTCTCTCTCTGGGGGGAAGATTTCTCACTAGCAGGGACCACCAAACTAAACTGGGGCAGCTAATCTGACTATCACAAGGGTCGTCATGGCTGACATCCAAAAAAAGAAGTGTAGAAGCCATAAAACTGACTTCCTGATATTTAATTATTCTACCGCAAATTGAAGTCAATCTCCTTCATGATGATGAAAAAAGTGGTGATTTCTAGTTACAGAATTAATGGACAAGACCCAAGTTGACACTTGCTTTGGCACCAGAGATGTAAAGGGTCTGTTGTGGAGGTTACCAGTGCAAGCCTGCATAGAAATTAAACTGCAAGCGTGCATAGAAATTAAACTGCTTTGAAGGATCTAGAAGGATTCATAAAACCACCATTTATTTCTAAATAATTACATACTGATTAGAAATCGTTGTTGTCTATGTGTTTATTAAATTCAGACTCCGACTCGAGGGCAGCTGCTAGGTAAAAGCATATATATGTGCATACACATTAGGAAGTAAGATGGCATGATCTGGTAGCTATTTGATAATTAGTCTTTAGCTCTCTTTCTCTTTGTCCCCCACTTTCTCTCCTGTTCATTCAATATTTTAATACTTTTCTGTAAAATTTTACTATCTTAATGCTTAGATTATATCATATGCAAATGATACTCATTATCTGGATCAAAAATGCCATTTATTCTCATAAAGCTACTCAATTATTCCTCCCATGTAAAATATTTCTATGTTAAGTTAGTAGCTTCTAAATTTGGTCAGGACTTTGGAGTTAACTATGTGGGAGGCCTGCAGATCCAATTAGGGAGTACGTTAAGGAAATATTACCATGGAAATATTGGCTTCACTTCAAAAGTACCATCATGAAAAATAACAACACAATGGAAAATTTAAAAGGAAAAGGTCAGAGATCATTATTCAAAAAAAAAAAAAAAAGACACTCAAATCTAGATTTCACAATCCTCTGTTTCTATCATTCCGTAAGTACTAAGAACCTCAAATCTTTTCAGATATAGTGTTGTTTATTTTTTCAAGGAATGGCTTCTTGGAGGGACAGTTGTTTCTCTTAGGTCAGTTTACTCACTTCTGGAACTGACAAATCAATTGTTTCCACAAGCTAAACATTAGTGGATGGAAACAATGCAGCTTACATTTACTTGCACCCTGAAAATAAACAGCCCAGCAGGATGTGGGAGACAACATCTAGCACCACCATCAGAGCTGATTAAACCTTGCTGGGCTGGAGGTGGCACGTACTGATAGAGGTTTCTTCCTAAACTTAGAACAGCAGCAACCTTGTTTCTGTGACATAGCAGTGGCTAGGACTGCGCATCCCAAGGCACCTAATTCTTAGTCTCAGGACAAATTACCTTGTCAATTTATACTCTGTTTTTACTCAATGACTAAGTTATTTGGGTCTCTATAGTATCTAGGTTTCTGAAGAGCCAATGACTTGCTTAATTCAGGGGGCCCTAAGTCCTAGAAAGACGGCTGGAATTGACAAATCCTAAATATTGTTTCTACACCCAAAACAAATCATCTACAGAATCGCAAAGAGAAATATGTGCCTCTTATTGAGAGGGGTTATCCGACGTGGCTGAAGGAAAAAGCAAATTCACCAAGTGCCAACTGCATCTTGCCCTGGAAAGCAGCGGGCCACCCCCTGCCATCGCATAGTGGGGCAGCGAGTTTCACTTTGGCATAATGACATGCTTTACGCTACTGAGACACACTCCATCCCAAGTCCTCTACACACCGACGATAATTTACTTCTCAGAGAGCCCCGTGCGGTATTTATTCTCCGACCTTTCCAAGGTGAGGAAACCAAGGCTCAGGGAGCCTGTGTCACTTACCCAAGATCACAGAGACAGTTAACGGCCCAGAGGGCCAGACTGCACAGCAGGGGCCCTTCCTTCCCGTGCTGTCGCCTTGCACTCTGGCGCCGGCTGTCCCCACGCTCCACTGTGCAGGCCGAGCCGCACCTGATGCCGGCCGGCCTTCAGGCATTTGTCTCCCTTGCCAGAACCTAGCTGCAGCCACTGCAGTCGGCCCCACATTTATTCAGCAATTATTGGTTAAGGGTTCATGATGTGCCAAGGACAGTGCTAGTTACCAGAGGCACAAAGATAAATAAGACACAATCATGAACAGGAACTTCAGACAGAGACAGGGGAGGAGAGGCGGGGGGGGAAGAGGAGGGGACAGAGGAAAAAAAAATGTGTAAAATGACTAACTGGGCTGGGAAGGGTGAGGTGGCAATCACCAGGCAGACAAGGTTTATGTGGGGACCAGGGGGGAACAACGGCCCCCCAAATAGGTCCACATCCCAACCCCCAGAGCCTATGAATATTTTGCCCTGCTAGATAAAAGGGACTCTGCAGATGTGATTAACTTAAGGATCCTGTGAGACAGAGACTATCCTGGGTTATTTGGGAGGGCTCAGTGTAATAGCAAGGGTTCTTCTAAGTGATAGGAGGAAGCAGGAAAGTCAGAGAGGGAGATAGGAGGATGGAAGGGGCCACAAGCCGAGGGATGAAGGCAAACTCTAGAAGCAGCTGGAAAAGATAAGGAAACAGATTCACCCCAGAGCCTCCAGAAAAAAACGTAGCCCTGCCAACACCTTGACTGGAGCCTAATGAGACCCATTTTGGACTTTCTGACCACTCAGATGACAATCTTATCAATGTTACAGCTCATGCCCTATCTGTTTACACATAAGCTGGTCTACTGATCTTGCTCTAAGAAGCATAAAGAGTTAAGTGCTTACTAAATGCTGAATCGAGGAAAGGACTAATGCGTTTAAATAGTGCTCTTATCTTGCTAGAGCCACATAATCCTAACAAACACAGACTGTTGCTTCTGCAGTCAAGGAACGACTAGGAATAACTCAAGACAAACATGGTGTGTGTTCACAAGAGCACGACTGGACGATGAAGTTTTGTGACTGGATCTGAGACAGCCAACTAGCCAGCTGCCCTGCCTTTGCACTCCGATCATGACTCCTGTCCTCACGGAGTTTTCTTCATTCTGCTGCACCACAAATGTAAGCTTCTCCCACGATTTTGTCCCCCCAGCTTTTCTAACCTCTCTCCATGCTCCACCCCCACCCCACCCCCGCCCAGCCCCAAAGCACCCACTCCTCTGCTTGAACCGTAACTCCATGCGATGTGATCTCCTGATTGAGGTCTCGTTCCCCCTTCTCTCCACAGCACTGACCTACCAGACACCCGCGACTGCCCCCTGGGCTTACCTCTTTGGGTGCCCTGCTAGTGAAACAAACTCAGTATGTCTAAAAATTGCACCGAAGATATACAGAGGACACAGACATGAGCCCATTCTAGAGGAACTCACAGATTACCGGGACAGCCACAGCAACAAGTACCTGGCGTACAATGTATTACATACCTACACGCAGAGCACAGTGAGGCTGGGGGAGTAACAGTGGTTCTAAGTAATGTGGAGAATCCTACTTAATGGGCAGGGACAGCCATCCAGGGAGACTCTCAGAGGAAGCAACTCCTCAGTGGAGGCATCTAAGCCTGAGAGCCCAGCTATCTGTGCCACCAGACACCTGACACGTTGTAACACCTTACTGACATCTCTCCATGGCTCTAGTATCCAACCTCTCCTTGCCATGCCTGGAGCCGCCACCTGAATTCTGCCTCCTACAGCCTCTACCGACACTGCAGGAACAGATTCCTGACGCTTCCCTTCCTGGGCTCACCCTCCTCTCAAACCGGTGCACCTGTCAACTGTTTCATCAGCTTGAAAGTATAGCCCTCACTATGTAACTTCTCTGCTCAAAAACTCACAATGGCTACCTGCTCCTTACCAGAGTAAGGACAAATTCCACAACCCAACACCGATGCCCCACTGCTCTGCAAGTTCCCTATTGGCCCCGTCCTCCAACATTCCTCATGCTTTTAGGGTCAGTCAAACTCAACTGTGTACCCTGAGGCATGTGTGAGCTCTTCTGTTAAAAAGCCTCAGTATCTGAAACACATGAAGGACCAAGGTTTCCCAATTGGGCCAGAAAACATCCAAAGAACTTTGGCTCTCTCACCTCAGATGAAAGGCTGAGTCAACATTTTGAATTTTTCACTTGAATTTCAAAGCATTTGGCAAAATCAAACTTAAAACCTCACAATATCACCATTCCTACCAATTTTTCTTTTTGCCATTACACTCAATATTTTGGACTTACTTTTTCTCAGCTAATATTTGAATACCTTTTTGAAATTTACCTGGAAAAATACTTGGAATCACCGAGGTTTTCAAAAATTATTATTACTACATTTACACAGGCTAAAGGAAATCACCAAAAGAAAACTCTCTGTGGACCTGTGGTGGGGAGGGTGTGAGGGGGAGGATATGTATCCTTGGAGGTAGGGAAGAATACCTAATTGCATTCAGAATATCTAAATAGAGAAGACATTTTGGTGGATTATGACTGAATAGAAAGACTGCTGTTCTATATTTTCATGCTCCATTAAAAACAACACTGTTTCATAGTTTATAAATAACCAGCAATAGGAAGGGGCCCTTTTGTTTACCTACTATGTGGTGAAAGAAAAGCACACTTGAAATGCTTAAGAATGTATCACTTATGCTGAGAAATCCAGAAGACATACCTGTGGTTTCTCTATTCCTGAAAGAATGTCTTGCACCCTCTTTACTTCCAACTCATACTCTGCATGGAAAAAGAGAAAAAAAGAACGGTTAATACCAGTAGAAGGCAATGAGGTTGTCCAGCCCCTTCTCCAAGGCCTTTAACTAGAGCTACCATGAAGTTAGTTGCCTGTTACCATAAACTTTTGGTACCATGCATACGATAATGAAAAATCGGGAACGGGAATGATGCTGGGGTGGGGATTTCACTGTGGCTGTGCTAACTTGCCACTATACCGGTTTACATATTCACAGAGTTGATGAGATTAACACCGAGTTCCATCTAACAATGCAGCAGGCAACAGAAAATAAAAGGTCCTAAGAAGAAGGCAGGAGACTGGAGCAGCTAGCAGCTGAGAGCAATGAAGAGATGAGGTTGAAGAGACAGCGGCCAATTCATCTGGGGCTGTGAGTTCAGATTTTTTGTTCAATTTTTATTCTAAATTCAATGGGCAGCCCCTGAAGTGTTTATGTGGAGGGACTGACATGGTCTTTTTTTTTTTTTTTTTTTTTTTAAAGTCTAGAAAGAGCTGTTTGGCTTTGCACAAATAATGGACACACAGAAGATGGGAGGGAACGCAGAAAGATCAGTCAGTACATTGCTGTGCTGGTCTGGGTGGAGGACAGAGCTCGCCTGGGCTGGGGATGGTAGCGAAGACAGGGAGAACAGAACTGGTTTTAGAGGTATAGGTGTTGAAAGATTGGGTATGATAAGCAAGGGTGAAGGAATGAAAAGAATCAATGATACTTCCCAGTTTTTGGCTTGAACAACTGGATGGATGATGATATCTTTAAGTAAGATGGGGAAGTGGGGAGATTTTGCAGGGGGCAAGAACTGTTTTAGAAATAAGAGGGGAAAAGTGCTTGAAGTAGAGAGGATGGGGAGGGAAGAATGTGTATTTAAAAAGATAAATAACAGACTTTAAACATAAGACTATGTTTTGTAGAGGAACCCCATGACTTTCACAACCTACTTGATGTAATCTAATTTTGAACTTACAGATTTAACTGTTAAACCTAGTTTATGAGATAAATGCTAGAGTTACATGATTGCCAAGCGTATGTCCTCACCCTCAAAGAGTTCAAGTCTAGTGGGGGAAAATGAAAGCAACAGGCAATTCCATGTGATAGGCTCTGGTATAGGTAACCCAAGAGAGAACATTCTAGAAGGCTACCCAGGAACCAACACCTTGCTGACCCTGTAGACAAGCAGGCATTTGGAGGTGACGAGGGAAGTGGAACTAGGGGGTGAGAGGTTAGGAGGTCCAGCTCTTCCCCCCGCTGGGCTGTTCATACTCATCACTCAGGTCTAATCTCAAAGTCACCTTTTCAAAGAATCCCACCTCAACCCTACCCCCTGCCCAACCTCCAGTCATTCTCATATCCTACTTGTTTCCTTTCTATTGATTACCAAAATCTAAAAATCTTGTTTATGTGTTCCCTTGTCTATTACTTGTCTTTCCTGCTAAAATATACACTTCAGGAAGGCAGTGATGCTATAGACTCAAAATTTTCCGTAAAGAATCAGATAGTATTTTTGTTGTTTAATAAGTAAACCAAGCCTAAGTAAAGAATAATAAGACTTCAAGTTGGCACCACCTAAACTTTAAA